GTTCCCCTCTCCTGCTCAAAATCCTTCTATGGCTCCCCAGTACTCTTAGGTCTGTACTCCTGAAGGTGGCTTCTGAGCTAATTCAGGATCTGCCCTCATTGCTCTCTCCAAGCCCATCTGTGACCCTTCCTTCCCTCACACTTTACAAGTCAGTTTTCCTGCATCACTTTTAGATCAGCACATGTATACTTACTTCTGCCCCTTAACATTGGTCTCTCTCCTCTCTTCCTTCATGGCCTTCCTGACCCTTGTCTGCCTTCTTGTCCTACAGCAAAACTTTCTCCTAGTCTATCGACCCCACCACATGSACCCGCAGTGCTCTGTACCCAGCAAGTTACACCTTATTTGTATATGTTCATCTCCACAACCAGGCTTACCCTTGTAAGACAGGGTCTCTGTTGTGCACGTTACAACGTGCCACACACTGTAGGAAGCAAATTAAATGTGTTCCCTAATTATGTCTTCCCTTTGAGATGGTCACTGTTGTTATCTCCCCCTTAGTCAGCCGGGATTTAGAAAGAGGTCAAGACATGGGCAGAAGAGTGGAGCCTTGGCGCTGGGGTTGTGACTCAGCGGTAGAGCGCTTGCCTAGCATATTCGAGGCCCTGGGTTCGGTCCTCAGCACCACAAAAAAATAAATAAAATAAAGATATTGTGTCCAACTTCAACTAAAAAATAAATATTAAAAAAAAAAAAAGAGTGGAGACTTGTTCGAGTCAGAGTCCCAAGTACAGAATCAAGCCCGAGCCATCACAAGAGTATGCAGAGACCACCAGCTGCCCACTCCATCTAGCCATCTACCGTCCTTTATAATAGAGCCCCGGTTTTATTTGGGTTAACATGCCTACTTAACATTTTCAGCCTTCTCTGTAGCTGCACATGATACAGTATGCATAGGATTCAATCCTATGGGATTTCTAGAAGTCTTCAAGTAGACCAGTAGCCATCTTGGGCCATTCAGGTGGTTTTTTGTTGTTGTTGTTGTTATTGTTGTTGTTTTTTTTGGTGTTGAGGATTGAACCCAGCTCCTTGTGCATGCTAAGTCGATTTGATAGAGACAAGCACTCTACCAACTGACCTATATCCCCAGCATTCCCCATCACCCCCAATTAGGTATTCTTGAGGAAGGAAGCCAGGATTGAAAATGACAACGCAGAAAAAAACAGGAGCCTGGGTTTCCTAATAACATGGGTCATGTTCCGACTTCTTTGGGGTGAGGAGGCTGGATCTCAGTTGCCCAGGCTGAGTGGCCTTGAACTTGTAATCCTCCTGCCTCAGCCTCCCAAGTAGCCAGGGTGACAGGTGCCACCACATCCAGCCTTAGTTTATTTTACCATGACACAAAACATCAAGCCATGGTATGAGGGCCCTGTATATCCAGTTTAATCTCACCACCACGCCCCCTTGAGCCCTTAGGACAGGACTCAGAAACAGCAGTCAGAATGGGTGATATAAAGTGTTTCTTTATTTGAATGTCATTCCACCTGCACTGAAGCTCAAACCCAGCAGCAGCAGAAGGGGTCAGGACCAAAATAAATGGTACCAAACTGGACAATGAACGGCGAGGACACATTCAGACGGAACTTACTAATGGGGTGTAGACGACACCAAGCTACCCTAATGACACAGCACAGGCCCTCAGAGCTCTGACAGAGCCCTGGGGAAGGACTATGGCTCCCTGTTCCTTTCTCAGGAAACTCCAGTCCCTCCCAAAAGCTAGCCCTGAACCAGGCAGGGGCCTGTGGAAGTTTCTAGTGCTGGGAAGACCCCAGCTTCTCCAAAGACAGGGTTTCCCTTTCTTAATTCACACTGGAAGCTGGAGGAGGGCAATTCTCCCTGGTCTCAAGCAGGAATCTCAGAAGGCCAGGGACTCTTTCTATCTAGCCCTATCTAAAGACACTCACCTTATTCACTTCCCAGGCCTAAAAAGGATCTTAATCCTACCTACATTCTCACCCTTTGGAAAGTTTTCCTCCCTAGGTTCTGGTTTCACATCCCATAACCTAGAAGGACTTCACTGATCAGCACCGTGGGCCAGAGACTGAACCACCTCCAGGTTGTGGCTGCTTTCACTCTTCTTGGAAGAATTTCCAGGGTAGAAAAAACTGGATTGTGCCAGATCCCCTGATCCAGTCACAGTTGACACAGGACTCTTTCAGGGACAGAAGGCCAGGAGGTTCTTGGTCAGAGGACTTCCTGAGGTCAGAAACTTGTCTCCTCCCAAAGGCCAAGGCTACTTTGCCCACATAGGCCTGCCTTTCCATGAGGTCTTCATTGCCCCAGGAGAGTCATCAGAGTCTTGTGCTTGGCCAGGCCTCTCCTGGGCTCTTGGCTAAAACATCTGCCCCCACCCTCTGCTGAACTCTTAGGGGCAAGGCTATAGTTTGGCCCCCAATGCAATTTCTGTCCCTTCCCCCTGCTGGACTTCAGCCCACCCAACCTTGCTTTCCTAACCCCAGATTCCTTGGTGCATCTCCAGGTTGCCTCTTGCTCTACCCAGGCCACATCTGGCTGCATGGAGGGTGGCATGGGAACCTCATCAGACCACCCAAAAGGGAATTAGCCTCCCTCTTCCCTACCAACCAGCAGCACTAATCCATGGATAGCAGGAGCCTGGGCTCCTTCCCTTCTGGTTGTGGTTCCCCTACTCCAATCCTTGGAGAGATGGGGCCTTGACAGCTTGGGCCCCAGACCTCCAGCTGCTTGGCATCTGAGGGGGTCAGTTCTAACCTCTCCACAGAAGCACAGGGGTCTGGTGGCACCCCTGGGCAGCAGCTGTCCTTGAAGGAACAAGCTCCCTCTTTCCCACTGTTCTCACACAGCCGCTTTCCTCGTTCCCTGTCACCTTGCTTCTTTCATCCTCTCCTTCACAGGTATGCACCCTGGAAATCTTCTCTCCATTTCCCTCTTCCCCTATTCCTTTTCCGGCATGTCTCTCAGAACCTCCCGCACTCCCTCCATACTCTCGCCACCTCTTTCTTCCCCTCCTCTCCCATGTCTGTCTTCTCCTTTCCCCCGTCTCTAGTAACTCTTTACCTCCCACTCTCCCCACCTCTCTTCCTCATTGCCAATCACTTGCTCCTGGCCCCTCCTGGCCCTCTCCAACTCTGCCCTCTTCCTCTAACACTGGGCTTTGGTTTGACTCTTTGGGGGAACCCACTCCTACCCAAACCCAGTTCCTCCCATGGGGCTCCCCTCACCCTCCCATGTAAAACCCTGGTGTCCAGGTTGCCTGCTGGGAAGGCTCCTGTGGTGTGGCTTCAGGGAGGGGGTTGGTGGGGACAGGTTGGGGGAACACAGTGCAGGGCCCAGAGCTTTGGGGGAGTAGGGGTCAGGACTTGGTAAGTTCCAGGTGTCAGGAACCCTCCCAGACCCAGCATCTGACTCTAGTTAGGGTCCAGAGGAAGGAGCCGTGCAGAGGTGGATTCTTGAGAATCCTAACTCTCAGGTCCACATCTTACTGAAATGAATACAAGGGTGGCAAATACATGGCACTCCAGCTGCTTTCCTCCCCTCCAGATGAGGCCACATTACTAAATGATAATGCACTTCCCAGTGGAGCCTGCAGGGGGCGCCACACTCTTTCTCAACAGGAGACCAGGCAGCAGTGTGTCTGGTGGCACACTAGCTAGTCTGCTGCCCTTGACTGACTGCCGAAAGGGGTGGTCCAGGCCCCAGGGTGGAGAACTTCCAAAGCTAGATGGCTCTGCCACCAAATCCACAAGGTAATGAGAGATGTTCAAAAAAACACCCGGAATCCCTCACTAGCTCCCTGCTAAGCCCCCACAGTGGGAGGAGAGGGTGAAAATTTCTCATCTGCCCCTCCACAACACACACGCACGCGCACACACTCACACATACTCTCACACACACATACATACATACTCACTCATGCCTCAGCTCCAAGCACTGCCCATTAGGCTGCAGACCCTGGGCACATCGCAAGGCGAGAGGTGGGCAAGGAGGAGGAAGAGGCAGGGACAGGGTAACAAGGCCTAGGGATGGGGACAAGGGTACCCTGTTCAGAGGTGACCTGCAAGTTCAAGTTATGCAGAAAAGTATCAAAGAGGCAAGACAGTCTCTGCCCTTGGCAGATGCCCAGGGTGTGGGGGGGCATAGGAAGGGGCAGAAGGGGTAATGCATCCCCCAATTCCCCATCTTGGACCCCCCTCCCCAACCCCAACCCCAACCCCGACCACAGGGCCCATAAGTCTGTGCTGTACAAAACAGGCCAGGGTCAAGGGTCCAGTCACCGAGGAGACATTCCAGCCAAGGCCAGGCCAGCCCCAGGTTGAGTAGCTTATAAGTTCCAGCTGCCTCCAGAGCCTGTCTTTTCTCAGATTCTGGGCTGACCAGGGCCACAGTCCACAGCTGACAGGGAATCCCTGTGCTTTCTCCCTTGGCACAGCTCAGATTCCTTTGGGAGTGCTGGGAGCAGGCTGGAATAGAGGCAGAGGAGGCCCTGGGAGGCTGGTGGCACCGGAGCTCTGTGGCAGACATGGTGGAACCATCCTCGGCAACAAAAAAAAAGGAGGAGGAGGAAAAGTCCAGCCCACCTGCCCACCTGGGGCAGTGTCTTGAATAAATTCTGTAGTAGACAGGAACCAGAGAGGCGAGAATACAGCCAAGCAGCAGCCCTCCAGGCTGAGAGAGCTAGAACCACAGTGCCTTCTTCCCCTGGGGATCTGCAGGGACCTCCAGGCTCCAGGCCAGTCTAGAGAGGAGAGGAAAAGCCCAATGGACTGTGGGGTTCGGGCTCCTTTAGGTCAACTTGAGGCAGGAGCCAGGATCAGGCCCCCCTAGGGTCTAGAGCGCCTCTCCCCTCTGCTAGGCTATGGACAGGCCCCATCTTCTCTTCAAAGCCCGGACCTCAAAGGCTGGTCGTAGGTGAGAAGTCGGTCTGAGATCAGGTCTTTTCTTGGAGCCTGAGTGGATGGATGAGAGAGCAGGAGACAGGACAAGCTGAGGTCAGGCCAATCCCTGGGCTGTGATCCTGGCTTTCAGGGTCCCTGTGAGTGAGCCACGGGACAGGGAAGGACTCCCCATCCAGAAACGTCAGCCCCTGGCCGCAACACAGAGCTCACTGTAGAGCCCACAAAATCTAAAAGAGAGAGGGAGAGATGGAAAAAGTCAGAGACCACCAGGCCATCAGGGCTCCCCACAGCCACTCCTCAGGCCAAAAGTGAGGGAACACGGCACAGGCTATGAAATGCCAATCAAACCACTGACTAGCAGGATGATGGCCTTGCACACGCCATCCAACCTAGCCCTAAGCCCCAATTTTCTCATCTGTAAAATGGTGGTAATAGCTTACTTCACAAAGTAATTCTGAAGGGTCAAAAGAGACAGTGTCAGGTAGGCCCAGTAGTGCACACCTAGAATCCCAGTGACACGGGAGCAGGAGGCTGAGGCAGGAGGATCGAAAGTTCAAGGCCAGCCTGGGCACCTTAGCAAGACCCTGTCTCAAAATTTAGTAAGCGGGGGCTGGAGTTGTGGCTCAGTGGAAGAGCACTTGCCTCGTATGAGTGAGGCACTGGGTTCAATTCTCAGTACCACACATAAATAAATAAAGATCCAACAACTAAAAACTATTTTTAAAAAATAGAAAAGGGTGGGGAGAGCTGGGGATGTGGCTCAGTGGTAAAGTGTCTTGGGTTCAATCCCCAGTATCACTAAAAAATTTTGAAAAAAAAATAGTCAGCCAAGGACTTGGCACATAGTCAATCTTAGAAGTTGTGGTAATTTATTTGGGTTTTGATTTTTGTTCCTCAGAACCGAACTGAAAGCCCGGCTCATTTTGAACCCCCCATGCGGGATGGAGAACCCCAGCCCTGAATGAAGGCAAAATGGGGCTCCTCTTTGACAACTGTTAAGAGCATTAAGGAGAAAGAAGAGAGATCCCCAGTGGGAACTGGCCCTGGTCAGCTCAGAGTCTTTTCTTCAGAAGGGGCCCACAGCAGTCTTGGTCTTGCACTTTGAAAATCTGCCACCAAAGGGCAGGCCCTGACCTCACACCAAGACCACAGAAACCCCTGGGGGAGACAGTTTTGTACCAGAAGGGGGTCTCTCAGGACAAGTTAGCAGATCAGTGTCCCAGGAGGATCCTGAAAAGGGAGCAGAAGGTCTCTTGCCTCACCAGGCTGAAGAGCTTGGACTTTAGACTAGGGCCTGTGTTTTAAATACCACTCTACCATTTAGGTGACCTTGGGCAAATTACCCCACCTCTCCAAACCTGGGCTTGCTTTCTCCTCTGTAAAAGTGCTCCTGATGCCTGCCTGATGGGAAGTGGGGAGGACTGACAGTGTTGGTGAGCAAGTTCCCCATATGTCAGACCCTGCTCTTCTCTTTGCAGACRCAATCTTTCTTCTTTACCTGACAGCCCTAGGAGGTGGCTCATTTTATGTAGTTCAGAGAACTAACATCACCCTCATTTTATGGAGTTCAGAGAACTAATACTCAATGCTAAGTAATTTTTAGGGCCAGCCTGCTTCCAATTCGATCTGCCTTCACAGTCTAAGACTTCTGCCATGATACCAATTGTCCTCTCCTACCAAATGAGGGAGCATGGTGCATACATTATCTCATTTAATCCTCACTACCATTATTTCTATTGTATAGGAGAGGAGAGACCCTCACCCCCCAAAAAAGATGAGTATAATTCATGCAAAGTGCTACACATAGATCTGGCACATGCTCAAGGAAGAGGGTAACTGTGAAAATTACTACCCATTTTCAGAGTAAAGAATGAACACCCAGACAAACACACAGATGCAGTCTCCCAGCTCTGGGGGCAGGCAGACCTCTGGATCAAAAGACTGTGCTTGATACCACCCCTTTAAAGAATCATCTGGCACTATCATTTTTTGTTTTGTTTTGGTACTGGGGATTGAACCCAAGGACACTTTACTACCCAGCTACATCCCCCAGCCCTTTTTATTTTGAGACAGAGTCTCATTAAGTTTTGTTGAGGATCTTTCTAAGTTTCTGAAGCTGGCCTTGAACTTCTGATCCTCCTGCCTCAGCCTCCCAAATCTCTATTATTAGACACGCACACACTATGCCTGGCTTATAATTAAAATTTTTGAGCATGCAATTCAACTTCTTGAAATTCCAAGGAAACACTTGAACATCTGTATGAAAAGGCAGAACAAAGGTGTTCAGTGTAAAATTGTCAATAATAGTGGAGACCTAAAAACCTCTATAATAGTCTCTGAAAGAAGAGTAAAATAAAGTGCATACAGTTGCTTCATCTTATGTTATGATGTGTGTACACACACAGAAAAGGGTCTGACAAAGGCAGTTACCCTGAGACTCTGGCTTTATGTGTAAATTTTTTCTACATTGTATTTTATTGTTACTTGATATATAAAAAATTTTATACTAACCTATAATATACTAATATAATATATAATTTATTCATTACATAGATAGCATACTGTCATAACCACCTATGAACCACACCATTCAACTGAAGGAGGGCTGAGGTTGTAGCTCAGTGGTAGAGCACTTGCTTACCACATGAGAGGCATGGGGTTCAATCCTCAGCACCATATACAAATAAAACAAAATAAAGGTATTGTATTCATCTACAACTAAAAATATTAAAAAAGAAAAAGAAAAACTGGAGGAGCACAAGTTTGAGGCCAGCCTCTACAACTTAGTGGGACCCTGTCTCAAAATAAAAAATAAAAAGGGCTGGGGTATAGCTCAGTGGTAGATGCCCCTGGGCTCAATCCCCAGTACAAAAAAAAAAAAAAAAAACTATAACTCTACCAGTGATTTGCATATACCTACATGCCCCCATCTCATGCTCCAGATTCCTCCCCTTCCATCCCAACCACAGATAACCACCATCCTACCTTTTGTATTTATCATTTCTTTGCTTTAAAAAAAAAAAAAAGACACATACTGTTACCATATGTTTAAACAATAACATTGCTTCGTTTTGCTTGGTTTTGAGCACAATAATTGTATCATTCTGTCATCTTCTGGGATTTATTTTTTCCTCTCAATATTATGCTACCCAAATGGACGCTACCCAGATGCATCCATTCTGTTACAGGTAACTGAAGTGGGTTCATTTTTACATGGCGGAGGCATCCCCCCTGGGTCCTGGCCATGTAGCTGTTCTTAATTGTTTGCTGCTGTGAACCTGCTGTTTTCTGCATTTCTAAGGGTCTATACTCTGGGGTGGTTTTGCTAGGTGGGTTTGCTAGGGCATGAAAATGATCAGATCTGAGGGATTTCATCTAGCTGTTCTCAAACTCAATGTGTCGTCTRTAGCGTTTCTGATTTTTGCACGACTGGTTCTTTGACCTGAAATTGCCCCAACCCCAGGCCGCAGCCTTGCCCTCCCGCACTCACCCTTATTCTCCTGCTTGAGCTCCTCCTGCAGCAGGTCTGTTTGCCGGTTGCCCAGCACGAAGGCGAGGAAGGAGAGGATGAGGGCGTTGAGGATGCCGATGATGGCCAGGATGTACGCCCAGCGCACCGAACAGTCCCCCAGGGAGTACTTCCCTGTCTTGGCCCCGCACATGTCCCGGATGGTCTCGGCGTCCCAGCCGTCGGGGAAGATCATGCAGCCCAGGACAAGGCACAGAGCTGGCGGCAAGAGCCGGGCCCACCGCCATGGTCAGGAAGGGAGAGAGAAAGAAGGGATCGTTACTCTCTAGATCCTGGGGACTCTAGAAATTCCCTTTGTCTGGGTGCCAGTGCTGCTGCTCAGCCCACCAATGCCAACACTTGTTAACAAGTCCTGTAGGTTCCAGAGACAGACATTGGTACAAGGAACTTTCTAGAACCCTCAAAGCGTTCTCCCTCCCCTCTAAAATCAACTCCTCCACCAGAAACCTTCTGGGAAATGAGAAAATAGCAAGCCTGCCCTGGTGGCACATTCCTATAATCCCCTCATCTCGGGAGGCTGAGGCAGGAGGATAGCAAATTTGAGGCTAGCCTTAGCAATTCGGCAAGACCCAATCTCAAAATAAATAATAATAATTAAAATGACTGGAGATGGAGCTTTAGTGGTAAAATGCTCCTAGGTTCAATTCCTAGTACCAAAAACTAAGGAAAAAAAAAAAAAAAGAAAGAAAGAAAGTAGTAAAGCAGTCTCCTCCAGCTCCCTTTAACATCCTAGCTAATCTTAAATTCATACCATCTCACACCCTGGCCTTTTTTTGTTTGTTTTTTTGTTTCATTTTGTTCTTGTTTTGTCTTTCATTCAACTATTGTTTATGGAGCCATTTCCCTTTCATTCAAGATGCTGGAAATAACCAACCCGGCAACTGCGCTAGGAAAACAGGACACCAAGTGCCAACCGCAGGGCTGAACCTAGTTCTTTCTCTTACTAGCCGAGTGAATTTGAGGGCGCTGCAGTGGCTGAATGGACCTGTTTCTGCCAGAAAACTAGAAAACACAGTATTTGCCTCGCAGGGTGGTGAGGAAGGAACGCTTATAACACATAGGACAGAGGCAGGCATTCATACAGGCAGTATTTTTTGAGGGCCTACTGTGTGCGGGTACCAGACAAGTTAGGGGAAGGGGCATTTAGATTTGTGTCCCATGGAACTTTCATTGGGGGAGTGGAATATTACAGCAAAATGGTTAAGAGGGCTCTGCTGTTTGCCAGATGTGTGACCCAGAGTGAATTCCTTCAGCTTTGTGCCTCGGTTTACAGATCTATAAAATGGGGAGAATGCAGATATCATCAAGTAGTTGCAACAATTACAGGGGGAATAACAAAGTGCTTTGCATCAGTGTTAAACATAAAGGATAAATGTTAGCTGTTAGTAGTAAAACTAGTCATAACGATTAAAATAATAATTATGCAAATAAATAATGGGGAGTGGTTTCAGGTGAGGAGGAAGAAACTAGCCAGAAAAAGGGAGAAGGCCGAGGGGACTTCTAAATAATTCCCTGGTTGGCATCCACCTGCTTTTGGTTAAGCGACCTACCTACTTTACCTCTGCCAACCACAGCCTTGATGCTAAGGGCCATCTCTTCCAGCACTTAGACTGGGTTGGCTCAAGCCTGTGCCAATCAGCTCCTTGATTTCCTCTAGTAACAGCGATTGGCCCTGAGAGGGGCACATGCTGTATCACAGGCCAATCAGAAGCTTGGGACTAAGGCTAAGGTGGAGACTTGTCTCCTCTGCAGAGCTGACCCTGCCTGACTATTGCCCTGTTACATCTGTCAGTCGCGCCAGCCTCGGGGTCTCTATGTCTAAGATCTGAAGGTTGCACAGGGCTCTGTTTGGAAGTATGGGGCCCTCGAGGCCAAGAGTGTGATTAACCTTCCTTTCAGATGACAGCGATGACTATGGGTGGTGGTCAGTTCTGTCCACTGTGTATGTGGCCCACCTGGTATCCAGGGTGGGAAGGGGGCTCTCAACTTTGCCACTCCCTCATCTACTGTGCAAGGCAGTGCTCCCCAGGCCCCAGACTCCTCAAGCCTCCAGCAGAGTGGGACCCCTCTTCTGCAAGAAGCTGAGGGGATTCTACTCCACTCCCTAACATGTGCTCCTCATCCTGATGCAGGGCTGCCCAAAAGTGACTGGATCACACACAAATTCTAGGGGGCTTTGTCTACACTCCTCCAAGGCAATCTCTGATCTACTGGAGCTCACAGTCCCTCAAAGACTGGGAAAAGAGATCCAGGCAAAGGAAATGGAAAATACGGAAGCCCTAAAGCAGAAATGAGTTGAAGAATTAAACAAGTCTTGGGCTGGGATATAGCTCAGTTGGTAGAGTGCTTGCTTGCCTCTCATGGACAAGGCCCTGGGCTCAATCCCCAGCACCACAAAAAAAGAAAAAGAAAAAAGAAATAAATCTGAAGATGACCATTGGACACTCCAATAGAGAGGCAAGTCGGGAACGCAGGGGAATGGTTTGGAGGGTCAAATTTGGTTGCTGTGGGCACTTGTGGGTATTTAAATTCCTGAGATTGAAAATTATGGAAACTGAAGGGAAGGTGCAGGACTCAGCCCTGGGGCACTCCTGCATTGACTGTGCGGGAAGAGGAGGAGCCTACTGGGAAGGATTGACCATCCCTCTCCCCACAGACCTCTGACACTTTGCCAGACCCCCTGAGGCCCTACTGCAGAGGGGAAGAGGCCCAAACACACAGGAGCAGAGGAAGAAAGAGTGGTCTTATTACCTGTCCTGCACTCAGCCCTCAGCCCTCAGCGTCTCCCAGCCCTACTGAAGGTGCTTCTGCCTTCCCATCCCCTGCCTCTGAGTCTCCAGTGAGATGTAGTAGGGAAGAGCCTGGGCATGGGCACAAATCTACACTGGCCATCTACCTGTCCCTCTCCTTTCCCTCCCTGCTCTTCCTGAGCACTACAGTGGCAGGCCACAGCCACACAGTCTGTTTTTGCTYGCCAGAGCATCCGTGTCTCCATGGAAACCGCTCCTGTATCCCAGCACTCTAGCCTTCCAACTCACAGCTTAAGCTTACTGCAGGGAGACCTCGGGTTCCTTCCCTGCACATTGTGTTTGGTCCTCCCTCGCTCTTTCTCCTTCCCTTCCCATCTCCTTCTTTGTCCGTACGCCGGACTCAAATCTGAGCTTAGACTCTCCCTTTTGTTTATGTGTCTCAACATTTAACATTCATTCAGCACCCCCCCTCTTCACTTTCCTTCCCTCTATTTATCCCCTCACCCTTTCTCTCTCCTCTCCTTCCTCTCAGTTCATACATTCCACACTAAATTTCTGAGTGCCAATTATGTGCCCTACAACTATGCAGTGTCTGGGGCCACAGACCAGCACCATGTCTGAGGCCTGTGCTCTAAAATTCAATCACGTTAACACACAAATAGAATCGTTATACATGTCAAGAGTGCTTCAGAGGAAACCAACTAGGAGCTGAGACCCAAAATAACACTGGTGGCTGGAGAAAGCTGGAGCATTCCTTTGTCCTCCTCTGCTCTGTAGGATTTCAAATGGTGGCTCTTGGCCCTGAAAGGCAACTCCAAGAATGGGAAGCACCCAGAAGTCAGACAAAAGGAGAAAGGTCAAAGCTGGTTTTCCTTGCTGAGGGTGGTGATATGGGCCTCTCAGGAAGCTGAAACAGGAGGATTGCAAGTTTGAGGCCAGCCTCAGCAACTTAGAGAGGCCCAAAGCAACTTACTGAGATCCTGTCTCAAAATAAAAAATGAAAAGGACTGGGGATGTGGCTCAGTGGTAAAGCACCTCTGTGTTCAGTACACACACACACACACACACACACACACACACACACACGGTTTTCCTTGGACCTGGAGGGAAAAAAGAAGAGATCAGGCCAGGCAAGTGCCCAAGAGGCTCAACCATCAAGAGATGGAGTGTCATAGTCAGGAAAGACTCCAGCATTCCCATTTGCTGGATGAAGAAACGGGCTGAGGTCTTTGGGTTTCAAGTTCAAGAGTCTTTTGGAAGTTAGGAGCTGGCAGAAGAGCCAGCTGACAACAAGATGCAGACACAGGTGCAAGATGCAATGGGGCAAGGCTTCTCAACCTCAGCATCTAAGTTCAGGTTGGAGAACTCTTTGTGGTAGTGGAGTCATCCTATGCACCCTGAGATGTTTAGCATCATCCCTGGCCTCTGCCCACTAGATCCCAGTGACAATCCCATGTTGTAAGAATTTTGAGAATGTCTCCAGACATTGGTAAATGTTCCCTGAGAGGTGATTATCCTTGGTTGAAAACCACTAGTGTAGGCACAGGAGTCTTAGGATAAGGCCCCTCCTCCCTCCAGTAGCTCCACAGTCCACAGACTGCTCCAAACAGCAGGTATTATGGCAAAATTAGATTAATAAAATTAGATTAATAAAATTAATATTGGGGAGACTGACTTGTTCTGGTGAGAAGAGTAGGACCCTGCCAACAGCTTTTCATCTGGTGACTGAGCTCCTATCAGATGTCTAAAGAAGAGATTCTGAGGATGTGGGTCGTGATGGCTGAGGAAGCCAGGCATGGTGGTGACACCTGTAATCCCAGTGGCTCGGGAGGCTGAGGCAGGAGGATCTCAAGTTCAAAGCCAGCCTCCTCAATGGCAAGGCCCTAAGCAACTCAAGAAGACCCTGTCTCTAAATAAAATATAAAATAGGACTGGGGATGCAGCTCAGTAGTCGAGTGCCCCTGAGTTCAATCCCTAGTACCAAAAAAAAAAAAAAAAAAAAAGGCTGGCAAAGCTTCTACTCCAGATCTGAAGGTCAGCAGTGCTCAGGAGACCCCTGACACCTCCATCCCTGGGGAACATCAGAGAAGGATGTGAACGCTGTACCCCAGAACCAGGAGCTCATCGAGAAGAACCGGGTTTGGTCTGGAATCTGCTGGACAGGTTACTGGAACAAAAGTGAATAGGTCATAGGGACACAAAGCTCCTCATCTGGTGACTGAGCTCGTATGAAGTGTCTAAAGGAAGACAATTTCTGAGAAGGTAGGTCATGATGGCTGCTGAAGTTTCGACTCCAGATCTGAAGGTCAGCAATGCTCAGGAGGCCCCCGACACCTCCATCCTGGAGTCTTGTTGAGGAAGTCTGTTCCTGAGTGGATAGAATGAAGAGTTGGGCCTACTTTTTCTTCTAGTAGGCACAGGGTCTCTGGTCTGATGACAAAGTCCGTG